GTAGAATAGGTCCTAAATGATCTCTGTAGAGACAGAGACATGCACCCAGCTAAGGAACCCTTCTTGTGATATTAATTCATATGGGTTTTTTTTCTTTTTCTTTTTTTCTCTTTCCTATTTCCAAGAAGATCCATTATGTACCTTTTCCTTGGGGATTATCTAGTAGGAGAAAAGCAGTTGTTCAAAGACAAAGACTTCTCTTGTGTTTTGTGAAAGCTTCAATTCATCAAGGAGATTGTATTAGGCAGGGAGGGTGGCAAGGAGGAGGAGAAGGTGGGAGTCCTTGCATGCAAAGATGTAGAAACAGAATGGATATTTCTGCTAACTTGATGAAAGAGATGAAAGGTGTTCCATGAGAATTGGGAGCTACTGTTCTGGTGTGTAGATTTCCACAGGTGTGGAAATATAGGTGAGACTGGATGGTAATACTGAGGCTCCCAGCCCTGGAAAATATTACTGTGCCCAAAAGAAAGTGGTATGTTAACTACATACTTCTAGGAGACTAGTGGGCTTGGGTAATGAACATCTCAGTGGTGGCTTACGTGGATTAAAGCCTGTAGAGGGTTCTCTATTTATTTTTCTTTTGCTAAGACTCATGGGAACTTTTGTGTTACTCAGTTGGATATTACCTTGAAGTCACAGTTTGAGGTAAGGGCTTGGATGCAGGTAATTTACTTAGGAATTAATCCAATGGAACAAGAGTATGAGACAGAAAGTAAAGGAAAGTTAACATGAGGTTGCATTATTTAGTTGGTTACAGATACAGCCTCAAAAATTGTTCACTTGAAGGGTCAAGGAACAAGCAAGAGAAGCATTCATTCATCTGCTTCTGCCCCCTACAAGTTGGGGCAACAACCTCTCGGTTTGTGTGTCTGGTAAGTGCTGAGTAGGCACCTATGGGCACACATAGCAAGGAGTCAGAGAAGCCCTGAAGCAGGAAGTGAGAAAAACAAAGGTTAAGTCTGAGGTGAGATACTGTCAGTGCAAAGAGGTGGAAGCCTTCAGGGACCTTTTTGTCACAGCTGGAATCTGAGCTGAGGCTTAGAGGATGTGAAGTGGGGCTGATACACGTTTCCTGTGGTATCTGATACAGGGAAAGGGGTTCAATAATGACTAAGCGATATGGGACACAGAGACATAGTTTTTTTTCTCCTGATTAAAAAAGTAATACAGGCTGAATGTGGTAGCTCACACCTGTAATCCCAGCATTTGGGGAGGCTAAGGTGGGAGGATCACTTGAAGCCAGGAGTTTGAGACCAGCCTGAACAACATACTAAGACTCTGTCTCTACAAAAAAGGTTTCTTAAAAAATAACTGGGCATGGTGGCACATGCCTGTAATTCTAACTACATGGGAGGCTGATGCAGAAGAATCACTTGAGCCCAGGAATTTGAGGTTGCAGTGAGCTGTGACAGCACCACTGCACTCCAGCCTGGGCAACAGAATGTGACCCCCAATTCTAAAAAATGTAATACATATATTTTTGGCATCAAAATGAATTTAATTTGATTAAATGGAACTGTAATCTTTCTGATTTATCCTTGTTTCTGGACTAAGGTTTATTCCTGTTATAGTAACACAATGCCATATAACAGGCAATTTTTTTTTTTTTTTTTTTTTGAGATGGAGTCTTGGTCTGTTGCCAGGCTGGAGTGCAGTGGCGTAATCTCGGCTCACTGCAACCTCCAACTCCTGGGTTCACGCCATTCTCCTGCCTCAGCCTCCTGAGTAGCTGGGACTACAGGCGCCTGCCCCCACGCCTGGCTAATTTTTTTTGTATTTTTAGTAGAGACAGGGTTTCACCGTATTAGCCAGGATGCTCTCAATTTCCTGACCTCATGATCTGCCCGCCTCAGCCTCCCAAAGTGCTGGGATTACAGGTGAGCCACTGCGCCTGGCCAACAGGCATGTCTTAGTCTGTTTTTGGTTGCTAAAACAGAATACCTGAGACTGGACAATCTATAAAGAAAAGAGGTTTGCAGTCAGAATGGCTATAATTAAAAAGTCAAAAAATAATGGATGCTGGCAAGGAGAAAAAGAATACTTATACACTATTGGTGGGAGGGTAAATTAGTTCAACCATTGTGGAAAGCAGGGGGTGATTCCTCAAATTGCTAAAAACAGAACTACTATTTAACCCAGCAATCCCATTATTGGGCATATACCCAAAGGAATATAAATCATTCTATCATAGAAACACATGCACGTATATGTTCACTGCACCACTATTCACAATAGTGAATACATGGAATCAACCTAAATGTCCATCAATAATAGACTCAGATAAAGAAAATGTGGTATATCTATACCATGGAATACTAGGCAGCCATAAAAAAGAATGAGATCATATCCTTTGCAGGATCATGGATGGAGCTGGAGGCCATTATCCTTAGCAAACTAATACAGGAGCAGAAAACCAAATATTGCATATTCTCACTTATAAGTGGGCGCTAAATATTGAGAACACATGCACACATAGAGGGAAACAACACATGCTGGGGCCTATTGGAGAGTGGAGTGTGGGAGAAGGGAGAGGATCAGAAAAAATAACTAATGAGTATACTAGGCTTAATACCTGGGTGACAAAATAATCTGTACAATGAACCCCCATGACATGAGGTTACCTATATGAAAAAATTGCACATGTGCCCCTTAAGTTAATAAAGAGGAAGAAGAAGAAGAAAGAGGAAGAAAGAGGAGGAGGAGGAGGAGGAAGAGGAAGAAGAAGAAGAAGAGAAGAGAGAAGAGAAGAGAAGGTAAGTATTTTGGCTTATGGTTCTGGAGGCTGGGAAGTCCAAGATTGAAGACCTGAATCTGTTGAGGGCCTTATGATGCTTCTTAACACAGTGGAAAAACAAGGGATCACATGGCAAGAAAAGAAGCAAGAGTGAAACAAGAAAGCTGAACTCACCTTTATAATAACCCACTCTTGTGATAATAAGGTTCCCTCCCATGAGAACTAACTGACTCTTGTGAGAATGGCATTAATCCCTTCATGAGAGTTGAACCCCTGTGACATAAACACCTCTTATGGACCCTACCATCTTTTGACACCATTACTTTAGGAACCAAATTTCAACTTGTGCCTTGGAGGGAACAAACCACATCTAAACCACAGCAAAGCACTAAACAACAACAACAACAACGTTAGTTCCTTTTTTCTAATCACACATCAATTAAGCACACATATGTATATACATACTTGTCTAAAAAATATGAGGAAAAGTTCTTAGGAAGTTCTGTGATTCCATTGGGAGTTTATACTGGTGTTCTGTCAGCATTTGGCTCTGAATTTTCAAGAAACTGACCTGGGATCTCTTTGCTTCCCAAAATAGTTGTTTTGGGATTTGGAATGTATCTCTATTCATTATTCTGTAAAGAATCCCTGTAAAGATGGCTCCATTTAGAGTACAGCTTCTCAAACTTTAATGTGCACACAAATCACTCAGACTGATGCTCATCTACCATCTCTGCTTTATGTTTCTCCTTAGCACTTATCTTCTAACATACTACATACGTAACCTACTCATCCTGTTTATTGTTTGCCTCCTCCACTAGAATGTAGACTTAATGAAGGCTGACGTTTTGTCTGTCTCTGGTGACTCGCTCAAAGTAAGAACTCAGTGTCAGCACTCCAATACATATTTGTGGAATAAATGAATAAATATGTAAATTCATAAAAGTAAGTTGCATTTTAAAGTATAATGAGTATTTGCTAGATATTAAGCATTGTGGGAGGTAGTTTGTGGAATCCCAAGATAAAATAACACTGAAAATACTTGGAGTCTGAAAACATGCTCAGATGAGATGCCTCTGCTATGTGACCTCACCTGGCTCTCAGTGAATTTAAACAGGTTTGGTGCTATCAGTCATGCTCTTACGTCATAAAAGCAGCTTACCTAGAAGCTTTGTACTCTTATACTTGAAAGAAGGTCAGCTGAGGAGGGTAGGGTTTTACTAGTACTGTTATTAAATTTTAGGAAAAAAACTGTAAGCTCTCAATTCAGCCTTTCTTATTAAAAATAAATCCAATCCCTTCCCCCCACCCCGCCACCCAACACACACACACACACAAAAAACACTGGGCAAAAAACAAAAACAAAAACAGAACACTGGGCCCCCTCCCTTCAGGAGTTGACAGGTTAGTGGGGAAGACAGACATGTATAAATAAATGTAATAAAGACAGAATTATCAAAACTCTGGTACAGATAGAAGCTGAATACTGGAAGAGCCCAAGGAATCAAGTCTGAATTGTGACTTGGGGCAGCAAGGGGAGACTACATGAAGGTGGAAACATTTGAGTGATGGTAGAATTTTTACTGATGAGGATGAGGAAGAAATTTCAGGGAAAGGGAACAACTGGAGCAGAGGCCTGGGGACATAAATATATTCTTAATGTTTTATTCAAGGGATAATAATCTCTATTGTAACTGACCTGTGGAGCACTGTGTGGACAATAAGTGAGAAAAGGTTAACTGGGACCTGATAGTATAGAAACATGAAAATCAGAGTCTTTCATATTAGGGTCTTCCATTGTAGCCACATATGAAAAAAAGACTTGCTCAGGCCCTATGTGAATTATGCATGTGTACTTGAAAAGCTCCCTAGGTGGTCCTAGTGGGAGCTAAGATGATGACTTAAAAGGTGATGTGGAAGGCAGTGTAAGAAGTGAGATGACTGGAGGAGGCAGGAACTGGAGGCAAGGGATCTGGGTGGAAGATTTGCAAAACCAGGGTAGAGTTTGTGGAGAAATAAGACGAATCCAGTTCAAGTTAGTGGAGAGATTGGTAGCACTCTTATCTGCTAAATATTGAGGGTGTCCCAAGATCCATAGGCTAGAAGCTAGCTTAAGTGATCCTTCCTCTTGCGTTTGTGACTCCATGAATTTCTCTTTTCTTTATTGGGAACATGTGACACAGATTCTAACTGGTCATGGTATATAGTATAACACAGTAATTAAGAAGCATGATATAAGGTCAAAGGACTTACCTTGCTCCATGACCTTGGGTAAGTCCTTACAGTTTCTAAGTCTCAATTTTCTCATCTGAAAAAAGGAAAAAATAAATATATTGAGAGGATCGAATATGCAGATACTTGGTTGAGTACCTAGCTGTGATAGTCAAAGTTGTGTATGCTCTGCTGCAGTAAGCATTAATCCCCGGATGCCTGTGGTTTTAGATGAGATTTATTTTTCAATCACGTTACTTGTCTACTGTGGATCAGCAGGGGGACTCTGCCCATTGTAGTTACTCAGGGACCCAGGCTGACAGAATAGCTACCATCTTGAATATTGTTAGTACCTATATCAAGGGGAAAGAGAACTCTGGAGGGTCTGGCACCAACAACTCAATGCTTGGTGAAGAACAGATACATGTCTGTAATCCCAGTATTCTGGAAGGCCTAAGCAGGAGGATTGCTTGAGGCCACGAGTTCAAGATCAGCCTTAGAAACATAGTGAGACCCTGTCTCTACAAAGTTTAAGAAAGAAGAAGAAGGAGGAGAAGAAAAAGAGGGAGAAGGAGGAGAAAAGAGATACATACCATCCCTGCTGACAACTTATTGGCTGTTGGCCAGGGCCAATCATATGGTCCCACCCACTACAGGAGGATTAAGAAGTACAACCCTACCATGTACCCAGTAGATGGGGGAGCCTGAAATATTTGGTAAGCCTTTATTACTACTATTTACTTATAATCTAAGATCTGCAATGTTAACTGTCTTCCTTCCTGCACCCCTGCCTCATCCTTGAGTCGCCATTGCAGGGGGCAGCCATCCAATAGCTCTCCTCACCTAACTAGCAACAGAGTCCTCACAGTGCCCTCTAGTGGCACCTAGACTTATTTCATTAGCCCTAGGCGGGAACTTAAATTCTGAGGCATCTGGAGCAGAATTTACTGAGCAGGGTTGAATAACATTAATTACATTAATTAATGTTAATTAATGTACAGGCTGTAAAACATTAATTGTCCAGTTTGCCTTAGTTTGTAAGCCTCATAAAAGCATTCAGGATAAGCCCTTATGCCCTGAGACTACCCTTTCAGGAGAATTCTGGAATCTATCCTTCCTTTTTGGCAAGAATATCTAAACTTCAATAATTTAAAGGACCTAGATACAAAACCCAACATGTTTTCACTATGTAGATGGATTCTATTGTATAAACCCCCCTTCTGTCTCCAACAACCTTTCCTTTCTTATAAACCATATAAATATTTATAGAGATGGAGCCAAAACCATTATGTAATTCCTGAAAGCCTACCTGCAAACTCAACTAGAATAATTATCCTTAATTATAAGAATAATAGGGAGGAGTTGCTTCTGAAGGAACCAAAATGTCATGTTCCCAGCCTCCTATTATGGCTTCCTAACTAGAGTCCATGGACACCTGACCACAACAGTATTTTCATATAATTGATTTCCTTTGTAATTCCATGTATTGTATTTTATACATTTAAAAACATTAATCTGAGAAGAGGCTCAAAACTTCATCAGTCCGCTAGAGTCACTTGGCATCTTAACGTTGTAAGATTGAAGCTGTATTTGCCAGTGTGAAGAAACATTTTAAATTTTGCCACAGGGTGGTGCTATTGCTTTAAGGGTAAGAAAGAGTAAATCAGCAGGTTGAACAATAATCTGTTACCTCTGAGAAGATTGAGAAACAAAGTGGTGATGTGGTCACAGAAACTTTAATCTTAGTCTTAAGTGGCAGTTACAAATTCCTAGCAGATAAAATGCAAATCCATTAACTAAGACATTTTGGTCTAGTATATAAGATGTGGTTGGTAATGGTTTTTCCTATTTTAAAGTAGTGTATAATACAAACATTATATACCTCTCAAGATTTTGAGGAGCTGTTAGCCAACCAATTACATAAACATTCATTCTACACAAGATTAAAGATTTTCTTCAACACACAGGTGGGTGACCGTGGTATCATTTCTCTCACCCATGTTGTCAGTTTTATTTTTCCCCTTGGCTCCATTCTGGTTGTAGACATCATACTTCACATGTACTGAATTCCAGCAAGGCACAATCATGATGAGATGCACACGGCAAGTTCAAAAGTAGAAGACCAACTCCTGAATGGGAACTGATAATCAAATGATGAAAACTGCACAAAGAACCCAAGGAACAAACATAAAATGGAGTTGGTTATACTGGCAAAAGCAACATATACTTACAGATAAGACAACTTACTTCAAAACAATCTAGGGGAGAAGGTGGTGATGGAGAAATGGGTAGTGGTATAGTCAAAATAAGATGATGATGTGATAATTGTTAAAGCAGGGAGATAGGTAATTGGGAGCTCCTTATACAATCTATTTTTTTATACATTTGAAGTTTTTCATTAAAATAATTAACATATCCATAAAATAACATAATGTTAAACGACTGAATTTTTGGTGATCAGTGAGTATATACCAATAAAATAACATAATGTTAAAGGGCTGATTTTTTGGTGATCAATGAGTATATACCAAGCCACAGAATTACTGGAAGGGAAGGAAGGATGAACACTGATACAGAAGAAGTTGTAAGTTACAGAAAATGGATAAACTTCAGAAAGGTGTGATACTGAGTTGTGGTACTCAATCCCCATTTAGATTAGACTTTTTTTTTTTTTTTTGAGAAAAAGGTTTTGTAACTTTTTTTCGTTTTTTTATTATACTTAAAGTTCTAGGGTACATGTGCACAACGTGCAGGTTTGTTACATATGTATACATGTGCCATGTTGGTGTGCTGCACCCGTTAATTCGTCATTTACATTAGATCTCCTAATGCTATCCCTCCCCCTTCCCCCCACCCCACAACAGGCCCCAGTGTGTGATGTTCCCCACCCTGTGTCCAAGTGTTCTCATGGTTCAATTCCCACCTATGAGTGAGAATGTGTGGTGTTTGGTTTTCTGTCCTTGCGATAGTTTGCTCAGTATGATGGCTTCCAGCTTCATCCAGGTCCCTACAAAGGACATGAACTCATCCTTTTTTAAGGCTGCATAGCAGCATTCCAGGGTGTATACGTGCCACATTTTCTTGATCCAGTTTATCATTGATGGACGTTTGAGTCGGTTCCAAGTCTTTGCTATTGTGAATAGTGCTGCAATAAACATACGTGTGCATGTGTCTTTGTAACAGTATGATTTATAATCCTTTGGGTATATACCCAGTAATGGGATGGCTGGGTCAAATGGTATTTCTAGTTCTAGATCCTTGAGGAATCGCCACACTGTTTTCCACAATGGTTGAACTAGTTTACAGTCCCACCAACAGTATAAAAGTGTTCCTATTTCTCCACATCCTCTCCAGCACCTGTTGTTTCCTGATTTTTTAATGTTTGCCATTCTAACTGGTGTGAGATGGTATCTCATTGGGGTTTTGACTTGCATTTCTCTGATGGCGGGTGATGATGAGCATTTTTTCATGTGTTTGTTGGCTGCATAAATGTCTTCTTTTGAGAAGTGTCTGTTCATATCCTTTGCCAACTTTTTGATGGGATTGTTTGCTTTTTTCTTGTAAATTTGTTTGAGTTCTTTGTAGGTTCTGGATATTAGCCCTTTGTCAGATGGGTAGATTGTAAAAATGTTCTCCCATTCTGTAGGTTGCCTGTTCACTCTGATGGTAGTTTCTTTTGCTGTGCAGAAGCTCTTTAGTTTAATTAGATCCCATTTGTCAATTTTGGCTTTTGTTGCCGTTGCTTTTGGTGTTTTAGACATGAAGTCCTTGTCCATGCCTGTGTACTGAATGGTATTACTTCTTTTTGTTAGTTTTCCTTCTAACAGTCAGAACCCTCAGCTGCAGGTCTGTTGGAGTTTGCTGGAGGTCCACTCCAGATCCTTTTTGTCTGGGTATCACCAGCGGAGGCTGCAGAACAGCAAATATTATGGAACGGTAAATGTTTCTGCCTGATCCTTCCTCTGGAAGCTTCGTCTCAGAGGGCACCCGGCCTTATGAGGTGTTAGCTGGCCCCTACTGGGAGGTGTCTCCCAGTTAGGCTACTCAGGGGTCAGGGACCCACTTGAGGAGGCAGTCTGTCCGTTCTCAGATCTCAAACTCCATGCTGGGAGAACCACTACTCTTTTCAAAGCTGTCAGACAGGGATGTTTAAATCTGCAGAAGTTTCTGCTGCCTTTTGTTCAGCTATGCCCTGACCCCAGAGGTGGAGTCTACAGAGGCAGGCAGGACTCCTTGAGCTGCGGTGGGCTCCACCCAGTTTGAGCTTAGCAGCAGCTTTGCTTACCTCCTCAAGCCTCAGCAATGGCAGATGCCCCTCCCCCAGCCTCGCTGCTGTCTTGCAGTTTGATCTTAGACTGCTGTGCTAGCAGGGAGCAAGGCTCTGTGGGCGTGGGACCCTCCAAGCCAGGTGTGGGATATAATCTCCTGATGTGCTGTTTGCTAAGACCGTTGGAAAAGCGCAGTATTAGGGTGGGAGTGCCCTGATTTTCCAGGTACGTCCGTCTGTCACGGCTTCCCTTGGCTAGGAAAGGGAATTCTCCAACCCCTTGTGCCTCTGGGGGGGGGCGATGCCCCGCCCTGCTCTGTGGGCTGCACCCACTGACTGACAGGCCCCAGTGGGATGAACCCAGTACCTCAGTTGGAAATGCAGAAATCACCCGTCTTCTGCTTGCTCATCCTGGGAGCTGTAGACTAGAGCTGTTCCTATTCGGCCATCTTGGAACCTCTGTAACATTTTTTTCTATCAGATCTAAAGCTTAGTTTTTATGAAACTTTAAGTCTCCTGGACTTTTGTTTGGGAATAGGTGAGTGTGGAGTAAGGGAATTGGTGAGAGTCAGCAAAAACCAGGTGTTAGGAAAGACAGGAGACTCTCTTTTCAGCATTTTTAGGCAAAAGGCTCAGGAAGAAAGCTGGTCTTTCCTATTATCCTTGTAAATTCTTCATGGTTTTTAAAAAGAGGAGACTTAATTAGTTTATTTTTATTAACTATGATCCACTTGAAGATATTTATTTTGAGAAATCTATTTCATGTTCACTGACAAAAGAACTTTCAAGGTTGTTATAAATGCATGTCCATGGAATTTAGTATTTTCAAAAAGGTCAGATAGAAATGCTTTTTTATCCATGAATGCCTCTAGATCTGCTCTAACCACAAGAGAAAAAAACGCCTTTAAGTTGACCCTTCTTAGCATTCAGAAAACAACTCACTTTTTACTTTTAGCAGGATAACTAAGGAAGACCTTTTTATTTTTAGTTTTACAAGGACAAGTAGGAATTGCAACTTAGTCTCTATCAATACAAGAGTAGTACTTTACCCTCTTGTATAAAAGAAACAATTTATTAATGGTTATGCAATATAGCTTTATTTAAACCAAAAATACCTATAAGCCAATTAGTATTGCAGTCATTTAAAAATCATCTAATTGGTAAGCTGATTTTTTTCTCCCATACCTTATCTACCATTAAGATTCCACCATGAGGTTGGAGTCTGGAAGGAGAGGATGTGACTTAGATGAAGTGGAAAGCATGAAAGTTGCCCCTTCTGGTTCCAGGATATTGTAGGGGAGAAGGGAAACAGATTGAAGAGAGATGAAGGGTGAGGATCAAGTGGCCTAGCCCCCGCTGTCTGAGCTTTGACCAGAATGGGAGCATCCACGTTGAGGGGCATTGCCTTGTTTCATATTTGGGGCTCCAGAGGGAACTTCTATACTAACTGGGAGCGGCCACAGCAGAGATCTCTGTGGCACAGCCTGCTTGCACAGACTATGGGCCTGAGTTAAGTTTTCCTGAGTTGTCCTTGGTTTCTAGGTGGCAAAGATGGAAAGTCCCTGTATATTGCTGAAGGGGCATGAGGAAGGTGGGCCTGCTATGGGGTCTGCTATGGTGAAAGTGGCACAGCTTAGGTAGGCATTATAGGTCAGGGCTGGATAGGGAAAAGGCAGTGTCTTAGAGGAGTCTTCAGCATCAGTTGAAAGCCAAGGCAAGGCTGAGCTGTCTGAAAGAGCATAACCTGGTTCTGATGAAGCTGAGAGATGAAACCACCATAACGTACCCCACTGCACTTCAGCAGCACTGGCCAGGAGAAGGCACAGGGATGGGACCAGTCACCCTTGAGCACTCACCAGTGAGCACTGTGGAATAGCCACTCAATGGCAAAGAAAAGCTGTGGTCCAGGTTCCATCACAAGGATTTGAGGACTTCATGTCACCTCTGCTGTCACTGAACACCCAGCTATTGTCCTTGTTCTATGAACCCAGATGACAAAAAACAGAGGCTCTGGAGGAAGGTGGTGAAAATTTGAGAGATTAAACTACTAAAAGAGATTTAGTGCTTATCTAAAGAGGGTATTTAAATTATTTCAGTAGATTAAGTTTATTGGAGTGGCCTAACAGTTAGTGGTTCCCCTTCCCCACAATGCCTGACAAATGGGAGCACATGAAAGAAATCTGATTCATTATATACCAAAAAAAATTTACTGTACATGTTCTCTACACATCTAAGTGTAGTATAAGTATTTCTGAATCCTTATTTATACAACTGCTGTAAACAAATACAAGTATTTTATGTATAGAAACTAAAGATCTTTAAAAAATCAGAACCCTGTATCATGAAAAGATTAATGAAAACTCCTTTAGTGGTTTCTTCATAGTTTAAGTTTATGATTGATATTGCCTCTACTTCAGATAAGAAGTAGAGATAGTTAACAACAGAATAAGAGTAGCTAATGCTGACTGAGTGGTTCTTCTTTCTGCTAGGCACTATTTTAGATGTTCTAAAGTATATTGTTGAATCTACAAGGCAGCAGCATTGTATTATACCTATGTGACAGATGACAGAAATTAGGCTCAGAAGGGTGGAGCAACTGGCCCAAGTCTTCATAGCTAGGAACTGGGAGAGATGGGCTACAAACCTACTTAGCTTTCAAAGCTTGTGTTTTTAACTACTATGCTATCAAAATAAAAACTTAAGTATCTTAGGGAAAGAGGCAACAATTATATCCAAAGAAGGCTAGCGTAGTCTTCATAACCAAACATTAAATTTAGTTTACCAAACATCCAGAGCAACTAAAACTTATCTTTGTTTATCAGATGACCAGGAACTGAACTCAAAAGAAAATTATGAAAAGTAACATTGGACATTCTGCTTGATAAAGTTTACAA